GTGGTTATCTACAGAGACCACGTTGTAGAGTAGGGGTCCCCAATCCCAGTCCACGAGGGCCGGTGTCCCTGCAGGTTTTAGATCTCACCCTGGGTCAATACACCTGAATCACATGATTAGTTCAATACCAGGCTTCTGGAAAATTTCAAGACATGTTGAGAAGGTAATTTATCTATTTAAATCAGCTGTGGTGGGACACATCTAAAACCTGCAGGGAAACCTGCCCTTGTTGACTGGGATTGGGGACCCCTATTGTAGAGTCTCACAGCAGTTGGAAAGACCTGCGAAATCTCTCCGTCCCACATCGTGGGTGCTGCAGCCCGCCACTGAAGGAGCTGCTCAGTGCTGTCAGGGTCTCCTGCATGGGGATGGCTTCCAGTGTTCACATTTTGGACAGAGAAGACAGATGGTATGAAAGAGGAGTGAAAGAAGCATCTATGTCCACTGTGAACACAATCTTTGGACAGAGATGGTGGTTTACCACACCAACTGTCTGCCATCTACAATCCAGTTTTGAGATCCCTTCCCAGGCGCCACTCACATTCTGGGCCTTTTGACCTCAGGAAATCACATGATTGGGTGGATCTAGGTTTCACAGCGGGTTTCCCCCTAAACCTTGGCTGATTGTGACCTACACCCATTTTCACACCTTGGCTGATGTGATTAGGTAAACAGACCATCAGGGGCTCCATGTCTCTCTCCACCATTTGACCTTAGAACTGAAGAAGCTTCTGGGATGAGAGGTGAAACTATGTATTAGTTGCTTTTTTTTCCTGAACACCAGCAGGAGACTGACTGAGAGAAATGCCTTTAGTCATCCACTTTGAGCATTCTGAACATTGAACATGGAACATGGGATACTTGATTATTTTTGATAAATAAGTTAAAAACGATCTTCCTTTTATATTTTCATTTTGCTTTTCTTACTACATTAGTATAACCACTGAATCGCTGATTCCACACGCTGACGCACGTGTGCAGGCGAAGAAGCCGAAACTTTCCTATTACTACTTTTAAATGCAAACATTTGCCACATAATAATATAATACAGCGTTTCGTTATCTTTTGCTTTTTTATTTTCTATTTTAATTTAAATTTGGAAAACAATTTCAGGTCAGAAGGATACAATTTGATACTCTAAAATCACACATCGACGATCCTCTGTTGACCGGAAGATAATCGTCTTATTTACAAACGATCTTCGGCAGTGACGTCACGGCAGGCTGGAGCGGGCGGAGCGGACTGGCGCCGGGAGATTCGAGCTCTGAAGGCGGGTCTACCTGACTGCATTAACCGCTGTGAGAAGAAGTAGTAACTCGTCAACACAGCAGCTGGACCCTCTAGATTTGCTTCTTCGACTTGCTACTGCCATGTTGCTAACTACTGTGGAAGTTGAGACCGGGATCGGCAGCTGTTAAACCCTCACAGGTAGGTAGGCTTCGCTCCTAACCGCGCCGCGACGACCACCCGAGCACAGCACAGCCAAGCTGGCTAACAGCGCTAATAACGAGCGTACTAACGTTTACTTTTCTTTTTATGTACGTACAATAGTTACCATTACCTTTGGTAATACGCCAA